TCTCACGTGTTGCTAAAATGGTTATAGAGAGCACCAGTTACTATAATCACATTTAATATTAGACAAAAATCCATTAAAAAATATTAAAAAAAAATCATATATTTTTTTTATGAACCTGAGCGTAGTAGCTACTATATTTTTCTATGTATTTTTATTTTCTTTATTTTTTGTTTTCGAGTAGCAGTTAAGGAGTTTCCTCTTTAATATAGTCACAACATTGAAAGGAAAGATAGAAGACTATGACAGAGATTAAAAACAAAAGATAATAAAAAATAAATACATAGAAAAATATAGTTGCCAGTACTCCACAAACAACATGATAAGGGGAGGTTTTAATCTTAATATGATTATTGGTTTTTATTTTTAAATTATTAAAAAAAATACATTAAAAATGATCTAAACTGATTTTTAATTTACCAAAGTTAACGAAATAAAAAATATAAATGTAAGGATTTATCCTAAATTTGTGAAGAAAAATAAATCTTATTTATTTTATTTTTATTTACCTATATTTTATATCATGTAAACTACCTGTATTTATATTCAGTTCTCTATGTCTTATTAGTTCATGTAAATAAATGGTAATTAAGTGTATCTGATAATACTTTAATTCGCGCATTCCTAAAAACAAGACATCGGATATTGCTGTCTCGTTCTATCTCATGCACACAGGAGCGACAACATAGCTGTAGACAGATTAATAGTCTCACATCTGGATACAACAAGATAAATACCACATGATAATTTTAAACGATTCAATTACGTATATGCGCAATAAATGTAAAGTTAATTGTTTTCATATAAAAAGTGTATTTTATTAGACATAATTACTTTACACTGTTATGTGATGGTAGGAGTAAATATACAATAATATTGTAACCGGTTCTTAGCATCGTTATATTTACGATTGTACGCAAATCGTAAACTATTGTAATCTTAAGATTTGTTCTTTAACATTAAATGAAATCAAGGCCTCTATCGGACCGTATCATCAAAATTAGAAATAAAACATTACAGAAAAAAATAATATTTTTAGGTAAACAGCCATATTTTTCGTATATGTAAATGAAATAAAATAAAAAATACAATAAATGAATACGTAAGGCTGCCTTTCAAGTCGTGTCGTTTGCCAACCTCCCGCTATTATAAAAAAAAAAAAAAACATATAACATTTTCTTCTTTTTGAATTTAGAATTCGAAAAAAAGAAAAGGTTTTTAGATTAGTCGAATAGTTTTATTGTATCGTCTATTCAAAGGTGACAAGTGGGTTGTAAAAATGGAAATATCTAAGGACAATTTGCGTGCGATAATTTTCTACAAGTTTCAAAGGGGATTATGGCGATTTCAGTGTTATGAGGAGATCACTTCTGGGTTTAGTGATGCAGCACCATGTCTTGGGACTGTATAACGCTGGTATTTAGAATTTCAGCTAAAAGGCGATTAGCTTGTTAGAATAACTAACATGCTGATCACCCACGTGATGGAAAGTGGTCATTAATGCAAGCGTAGTTCTTCTGACAATGAGAACTTCCATAGGTCCCGGTAACCAATTATCATAATTTCGACTATATGCTTGATTCCTTACTATTTATATATCAATAAGCTATTAAATATATTTATGTAATATTAACAAGTAAACACATGTTGTTTTTTTTTAGTACGTTTGTTCCGATATGGAACAGGCTAAGGTCGGAGACCATGCTGCCTAGTCTTCAATATGATAGTTTGTCTGGAACTAAACAGAAGTTCTTATTCCGTTTTTTCTGTCACTAAAAACTTCAATTGAATTTTAATCAAATTATAAGTATTTAATGTTAATCAAATGGGTCTAACCATTCTCAAGGATGCGCTTAAAAAGTTAATCATTGAATAATTCATTAAAAGAATTCATTATATAAATTTATGTGGATTTCATGTAATATTAAGGTGTGACAAATAGTACTGTGCTTACAGATTCTCGTCTCATCACAGTTTGACCGCAGAATTATTCAGACCTTGGGCAAGTAAGTAAGTAAGTATACTGTGCCTTGAATTATATGAGGAAAATACATAATAGTAAGTATAAAATAATTACCTCTAATCTTAGATTCATCAGAGCCAAGATATAAATCATATTAGATCTGTATCTTTGTGATTGTATTAAATATTTATTTTATTTATTAAATATATTGTATTTTGCATGTATTTACATATTAATCTAAACCAGTGTTTCCCAATCCTTTTGTGCCATGCCCCACTTGAACATTTCTAAAACTGTTATGCCTCCATACATAATTTTTTAAAGTTTACTTGACGACTCTAATCGCCCAGTTGATTTTTCGGTAACGTCAAACGAAATTATACCTAATAAATATTTACAACATTTTTTAATTTGCTTTTTTTGTTAAATTTGGCACCGATATCTACTCGTAGCATTGCATTTAAATGGCCCAGAGCAGAGGGTTAAAATAGCTTCGAGTCCATTTTTTTATTGCCCCCCCCCCTTAACTATCAAATTGCCCCTCTGTGGGGCATGGGCCCCATGTTGGGAAACACCGAACTAAATGTTTTCCACATAAATTAATAACATATCTTGAAAATTACCTAATTAAATATTAATTTTAACGGAATTTAAAGCACAAAGACCTGTTCTTAAAATTTGGGGGGCAGTTCGAAACATAACACAGATGGCGTTACCGTTCCATTACCATCCATGATAGATCCGTGATATAAGAACTGACATTGAACCGTTTTTGTTGACTCACACACACATAACTCTAGGTTATACATAGTTGTTGCGGTCATACGAGATGTTTTATGGACACTTCTAAACTAATATCATTCTCGTCACATCGTGCCCTGTATTGGTTTCAACGGATTTCTTCTATTTCTCTATGTTTTAATTTTTTTTACTTTGTAAGCGCAATTCATAGTAAATGTTTTATTAATATATTATTTCATTTAATGGAAACTTATTGGAAAAACATTTAATAGAAAGAGGAAAAGGAAGACCGAGGAATAACTACATAGGACAGATAAAGGAAACACTAGGTGTCATGTCGTACAGGGAGGTCGAGGATATGGCCTGGGATAGAGCTGGCTGGAGGAAGATACATGAATTAGTTGCACCGACAAGAGGAAAATCTTAAATGAAAAGAAGAATGGAAACTGTTGTTTTAAAATATTTTACTGCCGATTTAAGTAAAGATTCAGTTTTGCAAAATTATAAATTGGCCTTTAAACATTGTGTTAGCGTCCACTGCAAAGCATTGCAGGGTGTCAGTGGATGCAGGTGGCTCAGGCTGTTCCTTATGGCGGTCTATGGGGGAGGCCTGTGTCCAGCAGTGGTAATAATAATAAGACAAAGTGTAGTTATAAATATATAAGAAGAGGTATACAAAAAGAGACTATAAAATTACTTGATAGGTGATTGATACAAAATCGTTTAGATAAATATATAATAATAGATACATTATATTATTATTGGCTTCGTCGTGTCGTGATAATCTGCAATTTACTTGTTTGTATCAATGAATATAAATACAATTATTAAACCATTTGTCTCGCTGTAAATTGTCCATAAATTTACTGTATTTATTGCATTATCGTATGCATATAATTATGTATAACCCTGCAGTAAAAGTACTTTGGTGTTTTTTTTTCAAATAAGATATAAAAAGTGTAAAATAAAGTCGCTGTCGCTATCTGTCCGTCCCTATGTATGCTTAAATCTTTAAAACTACGCAACGGATTTTGAAGCGGTTTTTTTTAATAGATAGAGTGATTCAAGAGGAAGGTTTATATTGTATAATACATGTATAATATAGTAGAGAAACACTGATAATTTTAGAGATTTCTAATGTGATGAGATGTAGTGTGCACCCGTGCGAAGCCGAGGCGGGTCGCTAGTAAGATATAAAGTGGCTTTAAAATAAATTACAGTTTATTAAACTAAGGTTTTGTTTATGGTTTATAAGTATATGTCGGATGTGTGAAATAACGCACAATTCAAATTACGATAGTACCTAATATGCCCATATACAAATGAAAAACATACATAAACCCCTACATAAATTTGGAAAAATTGTAATTTTCTAGAATTGTTAAATCTAAAAAGTAAAAGTTTTCTTATATAGATTCTAAATCACATATACAAACTGTTTCTCTATGACTAAAAATGTATTAGCATATGAAATTGTATGAAGTGTATATAAAAATGATTATTGTACAAAATCGAATCATGCAAATGTGTATTTAAAAGGTTATAATGATTTGTTGTATGGCCTCGGTATAGAATGGATCATGCCTTCCTTTCCCGTGGGTTACGTAAGACGTGACTACGGGCAGTTAATGATCAAGGGAAGCGTCCCTCTTAAAATATCATCAAAGTTTATCTGCGGTTGTCAACCGCGGTTACCAAGCGTACTACTGGAAAAACCTCTCTTACGGGGGACGCCTATGTTCAGATAACGGCTGGTATGGCATGTTATGGTATGGTTCTTGTGAATTCACATGCTGATGATCTTGATGAGAAACAGAATTGAATCAACTAAAAGGCCATATTTTTTTATATAACATGGAATGTACAATAAGTTGACAGTCCACCAGATGAAAAGTAAAGATGGTAATATGAACACCTTTATTTTTATAAATTAAATGAAATAATTATATTACTAATATCGCTATAGAAAGGTAAATAACTTGATTCGATTTTTTATTATTATTGATTTGTTTTTGACTATTATTTATTTTGTAAATGTTGAATTTTTTGCTCAGACTAGGAATTCACGGTCTCGAGCTACTAGCCTTAGAAGGTGTAGTATAAATATCTTTTGTCCAGAATTAATGTATTGAACTTATAATTTAAAACAGTTTCCAGTGTAACAGAATTAGAGAGTAATCAATTTATAATTTAAAACATGTACAAATTGATGGCCTTTTAATATAATCCTTTCTGCGTGCATATGAACACAAATGCCAAAGTATTCCCAAAGTATCTTAGAAATAGTAGATATAATTACGGAATATCCCGTGGGTTCCGAAGTTGAAGTTATTCCTCTTCTGAGATTCAGGTACAGGAGTCAGCATCGGCAGCTCTGTTTGAGGGTTCTGTGGTCCTCCATAACTTGCGGTGTTTGGTATTCCTTGAGAAGTGTCAGAAGATGGTGGCACAATCGGTATTCCTTGAGAAGAATCTGTATTTGGTGGCTTGTTTGGTATACCTGAAGACGAATCTTCAATTGGTGGCTTATTTGGTATTCCCTGAGAGCCATATTCACTTGGTGGCTTATTTGGTATTCCCTGAGAGACATCTTCACTTGGTTTCTTGTCTGGTATTCCCTGAATGGCATCTTCACTTGGTTTTTTACTAGGTATTCCCTGAGAGCCATATTCACTTGGTGGCTTGTTTGGTATTCCTGAGGTAGCATCATTATTCGGAGGGAAATTAGGTATTTCTGTGAAGACATCTGAACTTGGTGGCTTTATTGGTATTTCCGGGAAAGTATTAGGACTTGGAGGTATATTAGGTATTCCTTGAGGAATGTTAGAATTTGGTGGAATATTTGGTATACCTTGGGGAGATTCCGGTTTTTGAAACACTCCTGATGGACTGTTATCTCCGGATTCATTTATTATGGTTGATATAGTGGTTGTGCTTTGTTTATAATCATCAAAATTAACAGGATCATGTGGAATCTCTGGATAAGAAGGTTGCTGTGGATATTTTGGATGATATTGGCCATCTGTATTTGGGGGATATGAATTTGGTATTTGACCGTAATTGTACTGGTTGCCAAAATTTGGCGGAACGTTCGGGAATTCCACAGGTTTATCATATTGGTTCGGATAACTGTGATTATGATCATAGTCGTTGGTTATACCGGGTCTCCTGAATGGAAACACGAACATTTTATTTGTGTCCTTATCTTCGGGTCTCAAATGTAGTATGCCAGATAAAGTGTTTCTGATTCTATTCGGATCAAAAACGTTTGGAAACTGAAACGAGACGCCGCGTCGCTGGTCATCCTCTTGTTTGTGGAAAAAACCTAAGGCATTTGAAAAGGTGTTTATAAGAAAAAAAATACTACTGCTAGCTAAATATTATTAATAATATAAGAAAAAATTAATTAAAAGAATTAAATATTTTATCTTATTATAAAAATAACTAGATTGACTCGCGTGTATTTTAAATTATGGCTACTCCTGATTAAAGTTCTCGGATGGTTTTAAAATTAATTGAGTATTCTCAACAATACACATAACACAGTCCGGTTATTCATAGTATAGATTTTATTTTCTAAAATATTTCATATAGTTTGCGGCAGAGAATTCGAAAAGTCGATAATAAATATTAATTTTTAAATGAACTTTATATTATAAAGTTACAAAATTTATTAATTATAAAATTTATAAATTATTATTTCACAAATTACTGAATATCAAAACCGTGTTGAATTTATTTACTGGAGAGTATTCGAAATTAACTGATACTGCCATCTTTTTATTAATTGAACATTTTAATGAATTTCCATTGTAATTTTCTATGGGTAATTGATTTGTACGACAGAATTACAGCATTAAATCCGATTATACATTATTGGTTAATATTTTTATTATGCAATTTATAATGGCAAACAAGCTGACGGCCCATCTGATAGAAAGTGGTAACCGTCGCCTATAGACATGAGCAGTACCATGGACATAACAGAGTATACTGTTTCGCCGATGACACCCCCAATGCGTTGCCATTTCTGATGACTCAGGTATTATTCCTCTGTACCCTGTAAATTCACTGCCCTATCACAGCCATGCGAACACAACCGATTCACTGTAGAATCACAAGTGGGAAAGGTACCCAAGGAGACGACTTTTGTAGCGGGGGTAAATTTATATTTATTATTATAATTCAAATGTACATATAAAGTAATTTATTAAATCAAACAATTTAAAACAAGACATAAACAAGTATAAAATATTTAATAGGTATTAGTTTCCTAGAATTAAAATAATCTTAAAATTACTTATGTATAAAAAAATCGTACTCATACCGCATTGTGTAGGTATAAATTGATAAACTGATTGCTTTATCCGACTGGCTGAACATAAAAACATTCTTTGACATATTATCTAAGAGATCAGGATGGCAAATAAACAAAAACGTTGTGTGTAATTCAATAAAATAAAATAATAAAAAATACATTTTGAACAAAGGATTTTTAAGTTAGTTTTTTTTTACTGATTTAATAAGAGAATTTTGTGTTTTATTTCTTTATTTATCGTTTATTGCATTATTAAATTTATGCAAATGGCAAGTTTAATTCTGCTTATTAATTTTATTAATTCTTTTTATTTTTTTATTTTAATAATTCCATTGTAAGGCATTTTTTACTAGCTGACTAATGGGTAAAAACAAAAGGCGATTGAAAGTCTGGTATATTCCGTGTTTTATTTATAAAATTATATATAAATTCTAAAATAGCTCTAAAATAATATATCTACTTAATCTATATAATATACTACTGACTATGTAGAATATATAAACTAAACTATATAATAGATTTTAAAAAAGTTATATTTAACAAAGCAGATTAGTTGAAACAGGAAAGTATGAGTAACTTTGTATGAAAATTGGCCATCACGGATTACAATAAAAAACCCAGCAAGAACCAAATTACAGTAACAACGGCGGAAATACCTAATCGTCTAATATAGTCAGATATAAACATAAATAATAACTATATTTATATATTATTTATGTATGACTGCACTTTAAAATTTGCTGCATTTATTATTTTTATAAATGGTGCAATAAAGTATAAAATAAAATAAATAAATTTATGTATAACTAACATTTGCCCGTTACATCTAATGCGTAAATTTGGAATTACTTCTAGATGTCGTAAAAGATAAAACTTTAAATTATATAGATAGAGCATCGAGCCTCAAAAACGGGTCAACTTTTGTCAGCTAATTATCAAATTAGCTAACTAATTTTTTTATCAGTGTTATATACACTTACGCACACAATGTATTTTGACGTATCTTTATTCAATTTATTTAATAAATGAGTTTTTGCACATTAAAAAGGTACAAAAATTATAAAACAAAATAAATGTAAAAGCTATAAAGGAATAACTCATAACTATTTATTACACAAAATTGTATGAAAAAATTGACTCGCTTTTCTCGAAGCATTTGTATGGAGACACTCTGTCTATATAATATATTTATATTTTGTTTGTATTACGTCTCCTGCGATATGCATTTAAAAATGTCAAAATTTTCATCGTGCCTCCGATTAAACTGTTTATTCAAAAGTTGCCTGCAAGAAATCACTTTTAGCGATAAGGTCGCCCATTGTTTTCTCACTATGATTATTTCTTGTAATTGTTTGTATCTATAATAAGTTTACTATTGTAATCTTTTGGAGGAAACAATAAAGAGTATCTATTTATATGTCTATAATACCAATATTTAACATTATAAAAGAATATTACTAATATTTTGAAACACATAATTAATTGCCAAATCATCAGTATTCACCATTCGCCCTTCTAACATAGAAAAAAAACCAGATCCGTCGTCAACTTCCGCATCCGGAATATAAATTCTAAACATTTTAACAAGCGTGTCGCCATGCTTTTCCTGATTTACACACAATCATTGCCATTCTGATTTGGCCTTATGTAAGTATACATATATGCTTTGAAGTAGCAAGGTTACTACATGCCGATGACTTTTTGACCGTCAAAATTGTTCGCACCAGCACACTGGTTGATCATCACGTATGTCTAATAACAACTAATGTTTTGGAGGTTATATTAGCCAGTATTAGCGGTATTTATATTATTTTTTCTCAATATAAATGCACAATAAAAATAATATTAAAAGTTAGTATCGATATGTATATTAATTTATTTTTTAATTTACAAATTTGACGACCGTCCAGAAATGGTAAAGCAAGTTTTATATTTAAAAATTTTAACATAATATTATCAAATATTCCGACTTATATATATAATTACATATATATATATTTATTATTTATATATTGTATAATTAAATAATTTGCAATATTACATATCTAATTTAACGTGAATTTAAACTCATGTAATTTGTTACATAGATTAAAAATTTGTTAAAAATAACTACATATTTAAATTAAATATTGATTAATACAGTTATTGTTCCTTAATTAAAAGTAACAATATTTTTATTTAAGCAACAATCTTTTAGTACAATTAATTATTGTTAAACTATAGTAATTATTTAATAATAAATTACTATTATAAAACACCCAAATTCAAAATTATATTCTATGGCATATGGAGTCGGATATCGCTCGCTTACTTACATGGATAGAACGATATTAGATGTGGCAATTTTATTAAATATGATATTAAGTTAATCGGATAATAAAACCGTTACCTATTATAATCCTACATATATCTACTTCACCTTGATATTTCAGTGCAATTCCTTTATAAGTTTATCACGATTCTAGTACAACTTTCCATTAATTTAATATTGTCTTTTCAAGACATAGAGCATGTGTAAGTAAGATGTAGAAAGTACATATTATTTATTTATATTATTTAAAAAAAAATGTTCGGTCGGAATCACAGGCCCGACCTAGAGTGGCGCCAGCCGTCTGCCCAGTGCGGCAAAATACGTGTCCTGCAGCTTAACACGATCATTTAATTATGAAGGGCGGCAAATATTAAATTTTGCCCGGGGCGGCAAAATAGATTGGGCTTTGTTTACAGATAGAATCATAGTGTGAAGTTATTATTTGATTATAAAAGTAATAAAAAATGTATGAGCCTTAACGACATAATGTATGTGTGTGTCTCTAAATACATAAAAAAAAAAGTAGCTACAAACAATAATGTTATAAATAAACTGTTATTATTATGAACGCTAAAGTTCAAAGCTGCTATCGTTAACTTGTTACCTACTCACCCTGTTACAACTAACCAATGATAACATAACTAGATTAAGTAAGCTACTTATTAGAAACATAATAAACAAGCTAAATGTCGATTGAACAACTATATAGAACAGACTTACCGAATTGACACAAAACAGATTGCAAACACAAAAACAAACACACACAAACAATATTACACGGCAAGTTAACCATTTCGGGGCGGATGCGCGTGCGCAGCGCGTTCTACGAGCGATATGAACGAAATTCGCCGCGGCGAATGCGCGCGCGCGTAGCGGTCAAGTGTGGTCGCTCTTGACCAACATATCAATATAAACTGACCGAGGTCGGTACGTCATCGTGCTAACTTGAATAAAGGAATCGCTCGTCTGGTACGTCAGGATTTCCCGAATGATGTATACAATAATTAATGATCAGTAAAGTTCACAGACGTGAATTTTGGATACGTGCCTCAAATATGTACATACGTTTTTTTTTACAATACAGGCGGCAAATTAGCATGCGGTTCACCTGATGGTAAGTGACTACCGCCGCCCATGATCAGCCACAACACCAAAGGCATTGCAGGTGTGCTGCCGGCCTTTTAAAAAGGAATATGCTCTTTTCTTGATGGTTATGTTGTCGTATCGGTTCGGAAATACTGCTGCTGGAAGTTGATTACAAAGAGTGGTTGTGCGTAGAAGAAAGTGCCTTGAAAAACGAACGGTGGAAGACCGCCACTCGTCCAGATGGTTAGGATGTAATTTTAGTCAGTTATATTGTTAATATTTTATTGAAAGTAGGCTCAAATACAAAGTTTATTTCACTTATAGATAAATTTGGACTCGCATTTCTTACGGTGTATGAAAAAAAAAACAGTATTAGAAAAGATACTACGTAGTAGTTGACAATCATTGAAGCAAAATAACTTTGTGTAAACGAGGTCTTGAGTTCGATTCCCGATCGAGCCAACAAGGTTATCTCATAACTCTTTCAGGTATAACTATTTGGATAATTATTTTTTATTTGAAAAAATATACTCACAGATTGTTTCCATAGAAATGTTCTCAACAATTTACCGCGATTGAAGTAGGCGATGTTTTTTGTGGAACAAAATTAACGTAAGATATTTTGTTTATTTATTTCGTTTAAATTTTTTTTTCAAATTAAAGCAGTTTATTTCTATGTTGTTTTATTAATATATCCAATAGGATAGATTAATAAAACAATAACACTCTTAAATATAAGAGCTGCGCTCTTGTCGGTGGAGCTCTTGCTCGCTACGATTTTCAGCGTGTCTCTTCACCTCTTGATTGGCAGGCAAATTGGCAGTTAGGCTTTAGAGATGTTTTAAATACGACGCTGCTGTTCGTCCCTCGACTAAGTTCCCTTAGTACCCTCTTACGACACCAACGGAAAAGGAAAGGGTGGCGTAAAGGGTGGGTGTCGGGACCAGACAGCAATTTAAGATTAATAGAAGTCAGAAATTATATTAGTTTGCCGTGCGGTCGCGGCATAGATTGGGCCATCCCTTCCTTTCCGGGGGGAAAGGGATTGTTAGCAATCCCCTTTGAGTTTGACAGCCCCATTGCTAGCAATATCAGGTCGACTTCCACGTAATTCCCTTGGAGATCATCATGAACAATTCTTGTTGAATTCATCACGATGGGCTAACTGACCTGCTTCACTGGCGCCCAGCCGGTGTATACCGATAGCGCGAGTGGGGTTACCATTCCATTATCACTCATAAAAAAATACCATCTACTACAACCAATATATAATGACGTTGTTTGTTTAAAACTGTGGTATTTTTTTATTAATAAATGCATAACGGAATGCAATCAAGGATTTTATAACGGAGGCAACAACTGCGCGACCGGACGTAAAAACTGTTGCGTAAGATTTGTCTGTACGTACATATATCGAAGGCAACGCAACGCATCGAAGGCTCTGATTCATGTACAGTGATCGTAATCAACTTGAATTTCTATTTAGTTCACAAGTAATAGTATTAATTTATTAACCCTTTATTGCACCACTTTAAAAAAACTCAATATAAATCTTAAATAATATAGATACAAGTGTCTCTATACAAATGTTTCGAGAAAAGCGGGTCAACTATTTTTTTATACAATTTTGCGTGATAAATAGTTTTTTTTTTTGTTTTTATACAACTTAGAATGGCAAACAAGCTGACGGCCCACCTGATGGAAAGTGGTAACCGTTGCCTATAGACATGAGAAGTACCATGGACATAACAGAGTATACTGTTTCGCCCATGATACCCCCCATGCGTTGCCATTCCTGAGGACTCAGGTGTTATTCCTCTGTACCCAGTAAATTCACGCCATATTCCACCCTTCAAACCGAAACACAGCCACGCAAACACAATTGCTTCACGGTTGAAACACGAATGGGACAGAGGTGCCCAAGCAATCGACTTTTGTACAAAGTCTCCTTCTGGCAAAATAAGTGATCCCTTTATAATTTCTATATTTATTTTGTCTTATAAATTCTGCATCTCTTTAATGCGTAAACACTTATTTTATTTATTAAATAATACGTCAAGATATATTTTATTCATAAATACATATAGAATAATGATAAAAAAAGGGTCAGCTGATTTGAGAATTAGCTGTCAAAAAGTTGACTCGTTTTTGAGGCTCGATAGATAAAGTCTAAGAAAAAAACATAAATAATTTTAAATTCAAATCATCTCTACTCAAATAGAATTGTTTACAAGCACTTTTAAAACGTATTTTTTTATGAATGCATGTTTCGGAGAATTGTTATCTATTGAGAAGAGCCCGCAAGAAACTCAAAAGTTACTACTTTAAATCTCTGTTAATATTATGTGTATTTATTTAAATGTACATGTCTAATCTCATTTCATGCTATAAAAAAATATTTACACATACGAGTACTTACTACTTACACTACACTTACAGTTTTAAAAATCACGCATGACTTGTAAATCTTTAATTAATCATATTGACAGATATATTGTTCTACCCTAACCTACCGGGGGAAAAGGGATTGTTAGTAATGAGATCTAATAGCCCCATTTCTAGCAATATACCTCGTCAGGTCGACCTCCATGTGATACCCCTGGAAACCATCGTGTTGAATTCCAGGTGTGTTCATCACGATGGTCTAACTGACTTGCCTTTTTATTCTCACCTATCATCCTTCCACCAATGAAGGTGTTAATACTATATACCCTGCCAGCGTATACCATAGGCTCAAGCGGGGTTACCATTCCATTATCATCCATTACATAAAAAAACCTACCTACCTAAGTAACCCGACTAACTTAAATTCGTTTTTTTATGATTAATATGGCATTATTTTTTTATTTATTTTTTAATATAAATCGTAATTATTGCGTGAGAAATCTATATTAAAACGAGCAACTATTTGTAAAAGTAATTAAATATAGTTGAACATCTAAATTTACATTGAGGCACGTATATTAGCTTATGGATAAAATTTTGCTACACTCAAACTGAGCTCTTGTACTTACATAAGAACATTGTAACAACAGTATTGGCGGTCTTATCATTAAAGCAATCTCTTCCAGACAACATTTGGTAATTAAATCAAATTTAATTAGTTAGGTAATTTAATATTATTTTATCTTTATCCCTATTATTGGTGAATTTAAAATTATTTCTCAGAGTAAGGAAGGTGAGGGGGAGGAAGCAGTCTGGCATTTTAAATCAGTCGTATATTTACACTGAGAGATGTCTTTTCTTAATCTTTAGATACCTTCATGCTAAACAGGATTCAGTTGAAAATGTATTAGGAAAATGTATTTTTAAACATGTGTTAATTAATGTGTAAGGAAAAAATAACATAAAAAATTAAGAGGATATTAATTGAAGGATCCAAACACCCCAATGCCCAGTCTATGTGCGTCATTAAAAGCACTACTTCAATATTTTAATATAAAATAAAGTAAAACTTCAACGAAATATAGAAATAGTACTAAAAAAGTACCCATAAAAATACTCACCTTGTATTTTCTGAGACTTCTTTCTCCCACTTTTCGGTTTAAGGACAATTTTATATTTATGCCTCACGTTGTAATGCTGATTTGGCGCGTATCCTTTGCATCCATGACCTTTGCTCATGTTGTACACCTTCTTGTAAATAAAGTTCGGTCCGTGGCCGTAACCGCCCGGATAACCCGGGTAACCATGCCCGGACGGGTATTTATTAACGGGCGGATATTTATTACCGTAATCGTGGTTACCATACCCGTAATAGGTCTGTCCGTGGCCATTACCGTGCCCGTAATTCCCTATCCCATAATATCCATGGGGATCGTGACCGGTGTGCTCATCATACCCATGCCCAAAAATACTTTGATAAAGGTCGTTCAACGCATGATAATACTCCGGTGACTGTGTGGGGGTTGGGGGTTTATAAATGAATGGTGTATGGAGACACCTATAATTATTTTGGGCTAATATCAACAGCATTGGAAACCCTTGGAGGATAGTACAGAAAGTACCATCTCTCATTGTCATCTTGCCGACCGTTTTGTGACAACATTCGAGAAGAACTGATCACAAAACATTGTCCCAAATGTTGTATTGCAATATAGAAATGGGGTTATCGTTAAAATCTGTTTTACGCAATAGACTAGGCTTTGATATTCGACACAATTGGTTGTTCAATATTATTTCCTGCGTTTAATACTGGTGATTTATAAAGATAAGCTAAATTACTCAACGACTAAGTACGTATTTACATTGATATAAAACATTCTAAATGACTTTCGGGTATAATTTTAAATGATTGTAAAAAGTGCCTAATCAATTATTAAAATTTGGGTTACAAAGGTCCCGTGTGTAAAAAAACAAAACTATGATGTGAAATAATTGAAATTGTGTTCCACAAAAGAAATCTTCGTTTGTAGCAAAATCAGTCATTTTGATTTAAAAACTAAACTACTAGATAGATTTTCATAAATTTTCCATACAACCAATCTACAAGTCTATCCTTTCAGACGAAAAAAGATTTTTCCAAATCGGTTTACAACTGACGTAGTAATGAGGTGACAAACACGAAAAAAATACATCTGAATTAGAATTCTTACTCTTTTTGAAATTGATCAGAATTTTTTTTTTATACAACTTAGAATGGCAAACAAGCTGACGGCCCCACCTGATGGAAAGTGGTAACCGTCGCCTATAGACATGAGCTGTGCCATGGACATAACAGAGTATACTGTTTCGCCCATGATACCCTCCATGCGTTGCCACTCCTATTCTATAACCATGGGAAATTGGAATGTACTGGTGTAGGTAT